AGTAGCCTATAGCAGTACACTCTTTGTTTCATAGAAAATGAAAAAAACAAACAAAACAACAACAACAACAAAGTTATACATTTTATTTTCCCTTTCATAAGTTTTGTTTTGTATTTTCTCCCATGTCTCGGAAGATTAATATTGTCATATAAAAATACTATTTTACATAGAATAGAACTTTACACAATTTGAGAAAAAGAAACTAAACAAAAAAAACACAATATCAACCCATACATTATTAATGGCCCAATCCGGAATCGCAATAAGCTTTCATCACACTTGTCAACACATCTTTTTAAAACTGTTAATGTTAAAAAAAATCTGAAGAATAAATGCAAATGTTAAAGACATGAATAACTTTTATTGTAAAAAGTTCTTGTGTGATTTGTAAGAAATGTGAAGCAAAGATTGAAGATTCTCTCATGACCAACAGATCATATGAGACATCGAAATGTTCTAGTTTGGAAATTATGTGACAAAACTTGATTTCCCCTTCAGAGTCACAACCACAGTTGGCTGTGACTCTACAAACTCTGCAGGTCCAGTGAAGAATCTTGTACTCGTGTTTACAATAATAGCAACAGACTGGAAAGGTCATTATGGTTAGCTAGTTAACTGTTGTTATCTGGAGAGTAAGCAAACCATTAGCTTATCACAAGCTGAATGTATGTAGGAAATATGCTAATAGCGAACCAGATATATACTAACTTAACTGCTAGTTTTCCGGGCAGAACTCTCTTGGTTAGCTGACTAGGCGCGGTAGTTTGCTAGTTAGCTAACTAACTAAACTATTGTTAGCTGACAAGACACTACAGTTAGCTAGTCAACCTGTATCTAGGCAATTGGATTATATTTAGCCAACCATTATCACTTGTTACCTACAGTTTTCTGGGCAGTAGGCTAACAGTTGAGAAGCTACTTTGATACTCTAGAAAACATGCAAAATATGAGCCTTGTCTGAATTCTGCTGTAATTGTGGACCACAATGTTACACAATCAGCTTTTCCAACCGTTAGCCACCAGCTGATAACCTCCAATATGGCCACTGTAGGGTAAAAAAAAAACAAAGGTACTAACAGAAAGGTGTGATTTGACAGAAACAATAAGTGATCTCTTTTTATTCCATGTTTCCAAATAAAAGCAATAAATGAATGACCGGATGAATTGCACAAACTCATGCGGTAGAAACGCCAACAACACATGCTGCATACACAGGTATGTGTTATAGAAACTACAGTAATGGCATGCTGCTAAAGCTGTCATTAATCAATCCCTGGACCTACTGGTTAAGCGAGCTAGCCTCTTCTTAGGCAGAAAATGGCCTCTTTTTAAGTGTTAGGTTAAGATAAACCATTGAAACACACTCTACATTTTAAGCGTGAGTCAGACCGGTGCCTTGCAGTTGATTATGTAATAAATGTTATATTATATCATAATTTGCCAAATGTAACGACATCCTTTAACAGGCTCAGCGGTATTGACAACCGGCCAGTTTAATAAAATACAATATACTGTCATAAAATCTTCAGACATTCATTAGTAACTTAATAATTGGTAATGGCACTAATTTACAATATTGTAATATCAGTCCTACATTTTCACAGTAATTTAATATTTTGTAATTTGTTACATTTATTACATTATACAACTGGGAGGAATCTTTTATATTTTCTCACACATTTCACTCATCCGACTTTTTTACGGTTCCGGATTGGACTTTAAACTGACCTTTGACCCAGAAATGCATAGGGAGTATGGATGACCACACATACGTACATACACACATACATAAAAACCAACAGAACAATTTGGAAGGCTTTTCTCAGCATTTTGTCTTTTTTTTTTGTTGCTTTACAAAACTTTTTTTTGGCCACTTGACATTGCGTAAAAAACACTCCGACAAGTTTTGTTCCGTTGAACATGAAAATACTTACAGTGCATGGTATTAAACAGTGTGCTTATTTTTTTTGTAGTAAGTGTTTGGAGAGAAGTAAATGTCCTTTTTTTTCTTTTTTAGTTATGAAAAAGTTCCTTCGGCTCGCTCACAAAAACGGAGTTTATACTGTTTTCAGTCTCATGTCTCATCAGGGTTTCATAAGGGAGAGTGAACCCACAGCCCTGAAAAATATCACCACTGTACAATGAAATGTACACCACCTAGCATTCTTTCTGTAACACACACACACACACACACCTAAAAGGAAAAAACTGACATCAATAGCTACATACATGTAAACACACGTTTATAGTAAACACATACCACATACACATACAAGCTCCCTCATTCACACACTCACACAGACAACACACATATGGGTGCAGCTGGATTCTAACTGTATTATGTAACAACATGAGGAAAGAGTGAGAGACTTAGAAACAGCGAAAGACAGAGAGAGAGAGAGAGAGAGAACAGAGGTTGTGATTGTTCCTGTCAAATGTTTTCAATCCTTCAGAGGACAAAGGCTATTTTCTGTCCACTCTTTTGCACATAAATGCATTATTCCTGTGTTTTATGTACTGTCTGTCTCTCACACAATGTTGTACACTCACACCATATTAATAATTCTCTCTATTGTGCTTACATACATCTATACACCGATCCATATACACTCCTTCTCTCTGTCATACACACACACACACACACACAGACGTACTCGCACACACTTGAGTAGTAGGAGGGGAGCGACAGCCAGTCTCATTTCTGTTAATCCACTGATAATTGGGGCAAAGAAGGTTTTGGCAGGAAACAGAGAAAATCATGAAAACAGGAGTTGAAGGAAGTGGAAGGAATCTCTGCTGTTACCCAACAGACCAAAAATAGGAGGTGAGGAGAGGTGGGAGGTTTAATAAAAGTCATTAAATGATAGGTTCAGATTTCTTCAAGTTTTTATTACAATACCCACATACCAGAGTTGCAGAGTGGGTGGAGCTCTTTTGGGCGCACTGACAGTTGGAGCATTTCTACAGCTCGGATGGGCATCAGTGCAAAAGATTATCAGATGCCTTAAAAAGCATCTGGTTCTTTGAGTCGCATTGATGCATTCAGTATGAAACACCTAATCAGACCAGATTAAAATTCTGGTACTTGCAATTCTAACGGCTGGTTTGAATTATCTGTCAATTCTGGATGAATTCAACAACTTTGACGGCATATTTTCATTCTCAAATGCTCTAATTAGCACCTCTGACTGGCTTCGTCTCCAAAGTGATTGCAGCCAAGCCTCATGGGTACTGAAGTATTAAGATCCATCCACCAAGCCAAACCGAAGGACAAAAGGCTTTTCAGTTGGCGAAATCGAGTGGGCTACAGCGTGTATATGCACCCTTTCAGACACACCCACAAAGATAGAAATGTACTGGCACATTCATGTAGATCATCAACAGAGATGCACAAATACAACACAGCCGAACACAAAGAAACATGTGAACAAACACACAATGACACACGCACAAACTGCATCATTCCATGTCCATATGTTATCTGTGCATGTTGGCCCTGTTCTGTAAGTAAGTGTGTGTGTGTGTGCGTGTGAGACTTGTTCCTAGTCTGAACAACTTGGGGCTTATCTTCAGCATCCCGACAACACACTCTGTATATTTGCAGATGATGCCTTTAACTTCGTTCATGATCTTCGTGCCACAAAGGGGACAGTAGGGAACAAAGCCAAAGAGCAGTAACATTGTAGTGTTCATGGTTGATCTAATACTGCAGACATCATCTGAAGATAGTACGTGGAGCATTTAAAACATCAGTTATCAAAATAGCTGTTGTAGCTTGTTATCGTAAATGTGGCAGTGATGATTTGTAGCATCTATTCTAAAACAGTGGTGTTATTAATGCTTGGAGACTGTATTGCCTATAAACCTGTTTGCTTCCTAGAGCAAAGAGCAAGTATTTTTGTTTTTGACTTGGCTTGTTGTTCACAATAATGTGCTAAATGTTGATGGGAGTAGGTGGACTATCTATTAAAATGATGATGTACTCCCAGTACCAATGATGCTAAACATGCTTACAGTAGTTATTCTTGTAAATTTTTTAACAATGTAAATCTGAGCAATAATATCGTATCATATGAACGAGAAGAAGAAGAAGAAACTATTGTTGCTGTAACTTGTAAGTATTGACACTTTGATGTATGCCACTGGAAATTACAAATCGACTATACATATAACATGTTTGTCTGTTTACTGTAAAGACAAACCATGTTGGATAAATAAGTTTCCATCCGCCTTTTATCCCTTCTATCATCTGTTTTCACCAACAACTCTCAAGCTTTAGCCGTTTGTTGTATGAAGGAAATTGCTTTATTCCTGTTTTGGCTCATAAAGTGATTATCCCTCAAACCAGCCTCAGAGGCTCACAGTGTAAAATACAGTTTTGATGCCGCGAAGAACTGACAAGCTCATTTGTTTATGGCAATTATACTATTGTCTCAAAATTAAAGTGGTAATGAATTTCTTAGAAGTGCTACACACAGCACCTTTAATGTCATAAGTAGGTGTTATTTCTGATTATGCTCATCCTCAACCATAATCATGATCATTTAAAATACATATGTGGTAGCTACTGCTCTTTGACTTTGTAAGCCAGAGGTGAGATGAACTTTGCGCTCTCAGGCAACTGCAGTGATAGATTCGGCATTGTCAATGGGCAACTCGCCTAGTCATTGGCGACTACAAAAAAAAAAAAAAAAATACACAGAAAAGGGTCAAAATCTCTCAAAATCTTGAAGGAAAATGTTCTTCTGTTGGTAACACAGTTTTTTCCGGGCCATGAGCACAGCTTCCCAATTGTGTTGCAGCAAAAGTTGCCCTATTAAATAATTTCCATTTAAGATCTCACGTTTAATCAGGAAAGTAAAAACAGTTCCTTCCCTTCTTCCTTTTGATGGCTCAACAAAAAACAGCTCGGCAGTTGTGATGACATTGTCTTTACCTTGTAATGATGGCACAAATTTTGATTTTTTTATAATATCACTGTGCTTACCTAATGATACGCAGAGGTGTCCAATATAGAAGTCCACCTGCATGTGACGACTGGAAAAAGAGCCGAATTTAACCTTTCCAGAAAATGACTGTTGGGAATTGCAATGGGGCCGCAGTATTTTAGCAGACTCTTAGCAGCAATATAGACTTCTACAATGGCTACATCTATATAGACCACAGTCAGATACTTAGATTATACTCCTTTATAATCTGTTGGTTCAGTCTTCTAGTGAATCTTATTAGCTTTTCTTAAAACAAATGAAATCTGCAAACTGAGTAAGGCAGTTTCTCTCTTTCTATATCGTTTCATTTGAGATTTCCTAAAATCACAATATTGTGGAATAAGGCAGATCACTCTGTACCAGCAGCACTAGAAATTTCTGTAAACCTGTGGCTTGGCATTGAGAACAGCTGAAATTACCTCACCCAAATTGCAGGTTTTTATTCATTTGTTTTGAGTAAAAAGTAGATTTAAAGAGTCAGAATCACTGAAAATGGCATGTTAAAGTGCCAAGTAAGTGGTTTATTATGTTGGAACGACACTGAGCACTCCAAGCCAGCCTTCAGGAGAGTGTCTCTGGTGGTTTCTCTGCACTATGGCGGTGCTTCCATAGAGAAATATACTGTATGACAGCAGTTCAGACCTGTGTGGTGGGTGGGAGGGGACGACTGTGTGAGCATGCAGGTGTGTGTATGTGTCTGTGTGTGTAGGAGTCTCTGTTTAAGAATTATTGCAGGCCGGTGGAGTATGTGTGCTTGGGCCGGTTTCAGTACATATAACTTTGCTCTTCACCAGTTATAGTATGTCTCCTGCCTGAGTGTATGCATGTGTGTGTGTATGTCAAGAGATTCATGATTCTTTGCCTTTTTGTGTGTGTGTCTGTATGTGTGTTACAGGTCTAGTGGGTGGTCCAAACTGTTGTTATTGTCCTCTGTGTCATCGTTGCCCAGTGGGTTGCGGCTGATGACCAACTCCAGTCTGTCTCCAGCCTCTGTAATCAGAGGCACCGCCAGGCAGCAGTCAAAGTCCCTGGTCCTCACGTGGTTCACCTGGACAGAGAGACAAAGACAATGGCTGCTCCAGTAAATGGTACTGCTGTTGGTTCATTAGCGAAATAACAACTCAGAAAAACTTCTGTTTAAGGTTAAAGGATCATTCTTGATTACAACTTTTTTTTTTAAGAAAAACAAAAAGTATAAAGAAAATTAGCTGTGCATTTTATTCGGTAGGTGTGTCGGAGGACTATGAAACAATGACTACATAGTTAAAATTAATTTGAGCTTTAATTTGAGAGTGTTAACATCCATATTAGATGAACCATGTAGTAATTGGCTCTTCCCACCCCTTTGCTCCCTGTGCCTCGGTCAGAACCTTGGTCAACGTTCTCCTTTTCTGGATTTAGATATGCTATGTGCTAGGCTTGTTTTACTAATATTAGCTGTCCGATGTAACTAGCTAGCTAACGACTGCTGATTAGCAACCTAACTTGAAACATGACAATGTTGCTTTTATCTTTTAACCAAAACTTTTAACATAGACAAGCCTAGCGCATAGCAACTGTTATTGGAGCACAGAGCAAAAAGGTGCGGGACTTCAGGGTCAAATGTAGGCCTTTTTATGCAAAGTAGTCCAATTGCAGGGGGCCAAAATGTTTAAGAAATTTAGAAGACATCATCATGTATTTATTGTTTGGTACCAAATCCTTTGTGTTGAGTAAAAGTGACAGATCCACAGATATCACTAGACTCATAGAGGTTAGGTAACACACCACTGTTATTTGGGACAATGTATAAAAGAGCTTCAAGTTTTACACTATGTTACCTGCAGGATCCTGTCATAGGGTTTGAGCCCGGCTCTGTCAGCTGGCCCGTCAGGTCTGATCATGTTGACGTAAACTCCCTTTTCCAAGAAGCCATCTGACACGCTGAAGCCAAAGTCGTCAATCTCTGGGTCCTTTATCACTGTTACCTACAGAAAACAACTTGGCTTGGTGAAATGTAATCATTTAACCCAGTTTAGATCAATCCAAGCCATGTATGCTTTAAAAATGGTGAGCATAGGTTGTCTTAAAGGGCCCTGACACTGCAAGCCAAGCACAAAAAGTTAGCGCTAACTGACACAGTGTCACATCACATGATCTAATGTTTTTTGTTAAAAGCTGCACTTGAACAAACTGCAAAGACAACAGCTGATGACTATCTTAAAAGAAAATGATTGGTCCGTATAGTCTGTGCTCCTAACCCAGCAAACAAATGAGCTTAGCATTCTTATGTGACAGTGACTCTTCATATGCTATATATTATTATAAAGTATAATCTGAGAATATGTCTGACAATAAGTTGCAACTGGCAGTGTAAAGTATTTCTTCTGCATTGTCAGCCATTGGTAAATGGAAATTATACTCAGCTATTTCACACAAACACATGTTTAACATGTTGAACTGGCTGCTGAATGGCTGCTGATGCATCACAAAAAACACAGGCGACAACTATTGGTGTGTGTCAAATCAGTTTCAAAATTATTTAAATTTCTATAGTTAACATTTCTTTTTAACCCTTTAAGATTACATCCCAAGCCATACTGTGCACCGATTTAACAATGTATTCAAAAGAAAATGCATTATATATTTTTATTTCAATAATTTTTTTCTTCCTGTAAAATAAAATGTGACGTTTGCTTAAGTGTGAACTACCAATTTCAACCATTTTCAACCAATAACGTAAGTAGAGATACAGATAAAATACTTAAAAGATACAGAGATTCACTGGTAAGCTGGCTAGCAACAGCAGGGCTTTCTGCTGGAGCGGGGTGTTTCTGGGGACAAGGACTCACTAATCACTGTACAAAAAGAACTTTTTCACTGATATGGATGAAACTTGATCATATTGTATGGAGAAAGTATTTTCTGGTTTTCCCTATGATGTCCTGCTCTGCGTCAACTCTGCTAACTGCTACAACAGAGCTGTGTCACTAAAAGTTGAAGATTGGTGGGTGGATGTCATGACATTGAAATTGGTTGCTTAAGGGTCACATGTGTCACATTTTATTTTACAGGATGAAAAAATATATGGATATAAGAATACAAAGAAATAGATTTAAAATAGATTCAGAAGTGCTGCCATAGCTGCCGTTGGCGTGCAACGGAACCGGGCCCCGGCATCCTCTCAGTGAACACAGCTGAACCGGGACTGAACACAGCCTCCAAAACAGACGGAAGCAAGTTAGATGACAGAGGTATTGCATACAGAGGTGATTAATGGAGTTTCCTGATGGACCAATTGGTAAAAGCAGCTAACTGCTGCTAACCGTAATGTTAACGGCTGTTAGCTCAGCCACCCATGGAGCTAGCTGACTCAGCCCCAGGGTGCCAGGAGTCAAACCAGGTAATAAAAACCACCTCGGTATTGTATACCATATCGTCAGACTGGATGCTTGGATGCTGTTTGGTCCCGGTCTGGCAGTGCTGTTCACTGGGAGCTCCCAGTCTGGCAGAGTAAGCTTATAGGACACTTATGTCCGGGGGGTTTAACGCTATTGGCCACTGCAACGAGTCCCTCTCTAGCTGCTGTTGAAAACACGTAAATATGTGGGAGCGAATCACTCTTTGTGTTTCATGTGGACAGAAGAAAGAAATCTGTATTTTTCAGCCTAAGGGGGGTACAGGGGATGGTAGCTGATTTAAAAGCATAAAAGGTTTGTGTTACAATGTGGTTCAACTGTATAGGGTACAGGATTCACCCACGCTGCATGCTTTACTGAAGCATAATTAAATGCAGGATAAATGCTTTACAGGCCACTCCTACAAACGACCACGGCTCAACATACTGTCATTGAAGGATAAATGCAAGACAGAGGTTTCTACAACGGGTAATGCAGGTCAGATGTTTTTCTAAGAACTGTGAGTTAACAAAAAACTGAGAAGGCAGTATTATATGATATATGATGATATGAATATTGTATGATCTTTTAATGACACACCATTTAACATTTTGGCTGATGACCAACGATCCCATCAGATTTTAATGTATTTTCTCCCTGTGGATAACAAATGTATTTCTCATTCTGGCCCTAGACTGCACAAGTAGGAGTAGACCCCTGTATGAAGTCATTATTGTAAATCCACAGGAGGGTGAGGACATGTAACTGCCAGCATAATAGTTGCCCAGGGGAAGTGGAGTGCTATACTGTACATTCTATACTGCATTACATAATACCCTACACTGCAAAAACATAATGTCTTTCTCAAGACATTTTTATGACTTTTTAAACTTGAACCAAGTCAAAGTTGTTAACCAGTCCAAAATAAATACAGCTTTAAGTTGTTTTGTGTTGTGTATTTGCAGCTTCATAGACCTTTATCACATGGGACAGCAGGAAAAGCACATGTAACAAATAATGATGTCTGTATTCCATTTAGCTGCTACAGTTTCAGGGTCTTGGTATTGTGCACACTGGCTCTCTGTCACACTGTCATGGCTTACTGGGACACTCGAATATAACAGAGCCATTGTTAATGTTATTACAAACACCTGTGCTTCTCCGACAAGTCAAAACTTCTGCTCTGAAAAAATTGGATGCTGGAAATACACAACACAAAACCGCTTATTCCCCTCAGTTCCCTGCATTGTCCTAAATATCAGACAGCGCATTAAAAGAAGTGAAACAGAACCCTAAACTCTTCAGACAGAGCTGGACGTGAGTGAACTCTCTCAGTGGACTGAAATTAAAGGACCAGATTGAAATTTTGGGTGGATGAGAGGATCAAAACCATTTTCATGTCTAAATCCTTAAAGCTACAGTAGGTTATTAAAGTAAATAACATTTTTTCATATTTGTTGAAACGTTCACTATATCCTGTCAGTAGTACATGAGGCAGATAATGTGTGAAAAAAACAGGTTCCTCTGGGTTAGTTAAGGCATCATTCCTAGGGCGTCAAATACAGACGCTTTGGGATCTTGGGAATGAGACTCAACAATCAACTATCTTCAAGCCTCCCACCCAACGCATCTTTATATCTTTCTATCTCTGATTGGTTGTTTTTGTTCAGGCCCCGTGGTTTCTTGCAAATGCCATTAGGAACACTAGAACAAGACAGA